ATCTACATACTTATCTAAATTTTCTGTACACCATTTATGACTGAAAACCATGCAACCATTGGCAAACACTTTTTTAGCATCATCAATCGTTGTGCAGTGTATGAGTTGGGAAATCCAATGCAAAGCAATTTTTCTTGTGGACGGCTTCATTTTACAATCTTTAATTTTTCTTCTAACTGTGTTGATTAAATGAGTTGAGCATATATGGACAACGGTAAAGTTAATATCTTTAATTGTTTTATTTGTTGCAATTTCATATGTCATTTCTAAATATTTTTTTAATGTAAATTGATTAAAGCCAAATATAATACCCTGAATACTTGCCAAACAAAAATCAGTTTCTACTTTATGAATTATTAACTTTTTACCTGTAAAATGCCGTAAGGTATTATTAATTGTTAAGAAAAAAATAGATTGGTGATGAGCGTCATGTACAGAAGAAATAAACTCAGCTACTGGACAAGGTCCGTACTCGTTGTGTTTTCCTGGTAGAGAGAGAACATAATATAAAATTCGTTTGCAGTTCAAATTTTTTATCGGTGCAATAATGGTTCCTGTGGCATCAAAATGGAGGAAAACTTTTTCTTTTTGAGATAGCAGATATTGAATTTGGCGAACAGTATATAAAATTAAATAGAATGGTTTAAAGCTAATATTTTGGATGTAACCTGCGTATTTGTCATGCGGTCGCAAAGTTTCGTATTTGTCCTGTAATTTTTTTATATACATCATAAAATTGTGATCCAAGTCATTACTAGCTCTGTTTTCACTTGAAATTTTTTGAAGAATTGTACTGCTCAGCGCGCGATTACGATTACCGGCTTCTAGACATTCTTTGTCTATGTTTTGTACCATATTTAACTTAACTACTCCTGGTTTTTCTTTCTCTAATTTAGCAGCAACTTCACGCTCTTCTCTATTGTAAAATCGGCGGTGTACATCGTTCGAGTCATGTTTGATTGTTCCACATGTTTCAACATGGATTTCAATGTCAGTAAAAGGTGCAACGATTGGAGTATAACTAATAAATTTAAAATCTGTAGATGAACGATTTTTGCACTTTGCTTTAGCAATGAAATATTTGTTATTTTTTAATTTTTTTCCATAGCACTTATTTTCTGAAAATGTAAAAACACAAAGCTTCAATTTTTCATGACTTTCTAAAATTTTATTAAAAAAATTTGTCAAGCCCGTAGTCAAACGAATTGTTCCGTTCCAATACTTTTCCCAAAAAACAGAAGGAATGATTATTTTATCAAAAAAAGTAGAAGATTTATTGGATGAAGTTACGGGAGTGTCAGCAATATCATTGGGATTAATTGTAGTGTCATTTACAGGAGTAGTGTGTCAGGGGATCTGACTCCGTCAGTAAAACAGATTTGTGGGTTCATGTACATGCTAAGCACCGTCTATCGATATGGACGATCTGTTTTACCGACAGTAGGTGTTGCCATGTATGACATGTTTTACCGATATTTTGAGGTTATGGGCGAGGTTTTTTATCGACTTGGTTGTAGGTGGCGCTGGTGATGAATTCTGCCGCCATTTTTGAATCTATCCGCCATTTTTAAATATTACTATCCGCCATTTTTTAAATCTATCCACCATTTTCCCGCCATTTTTTTTTAAATCTATCCGCCATTTGAATCCGCCATCTGGTGGCTGCTCTCCGCCATTTTGAGTCTGCTATCTGAAATCCGCCATTTTGAGTCTGAAATCCACCATTTTGAGTCTGAAATCCGCCATTTTGAATCTGAAATCTGCCATTTGGTGTCTGCTATCTGAGTCAGAAATCCACCATTTTGAAGGGGCGATACTCAGTCGGTAAAACAGATTTGTGTCATGTTATGTGTCGTCTGTCGATACGGTTTACCGACAGTAGGTATTGCTAACTGTAGATATTACTGCAGTGAACTCGATATTTTGAATAAAAGTAAGTCCGATCTGTTTTACCGTCAATCGGTCTATGTTTTTATCCTCTGTAGGTGGTGCTGGTGGTAAATTCTGCCGCCATTTTTTAAATCTTACTATCCGTCATTTTCCCGCCATTTTTGAATCTGACTATCCGCCATTTTCCTGACATTTTGAGTCTGAAATCAGCCATTTTGAGTCTGAAATCCACCATTTTGAATCTGATTTCCGCCATTTTGAATTTGAGTTCCGTCATTTTAAATCCGCTATCTGGTGGCTGCTATCCAACCGTTGGTATTGCTGATCTGCTTTACTGACAGTTGGTCTAGGTTTTATCGACTATTTTTGTAGGTGGCGCTGGTGGTGAATTCGTCGTTTTGAATTTTTCTGCTATTTTGAATCTCACTATCGACCGATTTCCCGCCATTTTGAATTTGAATCTCACTATCTGCCATCTCATAGCCGCTATCTGCCATCTGATGGCTGCTATCTGCTACCTGGTAGCTGCTTTCTACCATCTGGTAGCTGCTATTTGCTATCTGGTAGCTACTATCTGCCATCTGGTAACTGCTATTTGCTGTCTGGTAGCTTCTATCTGCCATCTGGTGGTTGATATCTGTATCTGGCAGCTGACATTTCGAGCTCGAAATCCGCTATTTTCTCGCCATTTTTAAATTCTGAATCCGTCATTTCAAGTATAATATCCGCCATTTTAAACCTTGATTTCCAGCATTTTTGTTAAAAAATGCGCCTGTGATCTCAGCATCAATAATAGTTGCTTAGATCACAGGTGCATTTCATTGTTTATATTCTGAAAAGATTAATGTATTCAAACTGTACGTATGAGAAGTACATGCGAGAAGATACGCCTTCTGTCGAGGTTTCTGTCTACTTCTAAACAGGTCTGAACCTGTTCAAGGTCATGTAACTACGCAGTTTTCTTTGTTGTATTTATGTTGCGTAGCAGATGACGTCATCAAACAGGTTTAGACTTGTTTAAGATAGAGGAGTGGGGGTAACTGTGCAGTAGATGACTCATTCTGTTCTAGAATTTTCTTACTGTGCAGTAGATGGCGTCATCCGATAGGTTTTGAGGTAGAGGAGTGGGGGTAACTGCGCAGTATTTTCTGCCTATATAAGCAGCTCGCCGAGAGCGTACTTCACAAAAAAGAAGTACACGTCTCCAGTGAAGTACGAGCTCTTGCCAACTACAAGTTTTATTGAAGTACGAGTGCTATCTATTACTCTCAAGTGTAAGTAATCATTAATTAATTTTTAATTGTCTTATTAATTAACTTTAATTAATCAACTAATTAATTAAAATTTATTTACTAATTAATTTTTAAATATTTTACAGCTTTCAAACATGGATCTTTCCAAGCTGAATAAGGTTAATTGTTTGGTAGGAATCCTACGTGTCAAGAGAATGAATGAGTTAGAGTTCAATCGGGAGTACAAAATCAAAGGGTTAAAACAAGTTTGAACACAATATGGACCGAGGATTGTTGTAAATAACGAGGATCGGTTCGCCATCTTTTTACCGGCTCAAGCAGCAGTATCATTAAAGGACGATGGTGTCATGGAGATGTTGAATGATTTATCAGAATCAAACCACTTATATCAATAACGCATCAGCGTTATCATGGTGGAAAATATAATAAATTCGAATTTATTAATTCTACTCTCGATGTAAATAGTAATAGTAGAAGTAGAACTATCTAAATAAAAAAATCCTCTCATTAATACCATGCTTTTTTATTTAATCTTATAGTATTAAGTTAGTTTTTAATTCTACTATACTGAACTTAGTATCGGTCCTGCATCATATTCATCTCACGGGAATTATTATTATTAATATCAATCATAAATTAGGTATTCCTTAATAATTGTCGCTGCTGTTGTAAGGTTATTATTCCGTACTAGCTTTATAAAGTCGCGCCAGTTTTTGGCGCTTGCGTGTAAAAAAATTTTTTGTTTTCCTCTCAACAGATGGCGCCATAACTTCTCTTTTCGGCTTTTTTTTTTTTTTCTATTAGGTACTATCATTTGTTTGTAAACAAACAAAAACAGAGTAGTTGCAAAAAATCACTTGATCTATGCATAAATTAAAATCTTAATCGACCTTATTGTTTATTGTTTATATTTCTGACATTTATTATAACTGGAAATTTTGTTTACTACCTAGACCTTTTATAAATATTTAAAGAAATTTATTATTCTATTGAGAAGAAAGATGTGAAATGATACATGTGTATTTGTGTAATATTAATTATGGGGTTGTTAAAAATTACTAAACGGCACAGAAATTTATGAATTTAATTTTTCTTGATATTTCTCTGCTACTAATTTATTATCAAATACAATAAAAGATGAAAAACGGTTAGATATTTGGCTGATTTCAGTATTAGTATGAACGTGATTGTAGCAATTGCTACATTTAAAATTTTTTAACTAACTAAATATTGTTAAGTAGATTAAAAATGGAAAAATGTATACTTAGAAAAATAATAGTTGTTTTTTTTTATAATTTTTTTTTATTCATTCAATAATAATTGATTGTTGTATTTCCACTATAAATATTGACATCTACAAAAAATTTTTATTAAATTTCATAAATTTTTCATTAATGCCTGATGAATAATTAATTAAAAATCTGACAGTTAAATTAAACTAATAAAATGATTTGAATCCGTAATTTTTAATTTAAAAAATGTCTACGAAAAATTCAACGTGTTTTATGCAAAAATTCATTAATAGCATACACATCAGAGAGCACTGAAATCTGTTTTCAATAATGGCTGATTGTTATGATTAGTTTATTACAATAAGTACTCCGTTTTAACCTACAAGTACATAAGAACCACAGCGGAGTAGTTGCCAATTAATTAATAGAATAAATAATTCCTTAAGGTAATTATAATAAATTATATTTCTTTCTGTGAGCAAATTGGGTAAGTACTTTGTTCTTAAAAATTAAAAACAATTAATTTTATTTAATTAATTGATAATTTTGTAATTAATTTATTTTGACATGTTGTTTTAGGTTACAGACGCTAGAATTTAGTTAGAGTTTCAATAAATAAACAAAAATGTCAGGAATTAAATTAAATTCATCATCGAGCATCCCTAGTAAATATCTTCCATCTGTCGTGCTCCAACGACTTGACATTCCAAAGGACAGTCCTGTATATGTTATTAACACAGAAACTTCTGAAAAAGAAAAATCAAATATAACACAATCGAAACAGGTAGTTGATTATTAATTTAATTATATAATAAAAATTTAAGTATTAAAAAAATACAATCAATTATTTAATAAACGCTTTTTTTCATTTCTAATTCGCAGAACTTTTGTGATCGCAACTGCAAAGATTTGACACCAAATCATGAAGCTCATCACAAAATTCTCAGCATCGAGTATATTTGTCAACGTTGCCATCAATCATTTGAAACAACCGGTAAATATTTTCAAATTTCTTATTATTATTAGCTAATATATCAAGAATTTTTTTATTTATTAAGTATTTTTTTTTTCTTTTATAGAATTACATAGTCAGCACGTACTGAACCATTATTCCAGAAAAGAACGAAAAAGCTCCGAAAGTTCTGAGTCTGGATCTTAAGTAAGCCACTCGAAACGACACACCAAGACTAACGTCGCCTGTTATCCTTGCAATTCATGCCGTCAATTTTGTCAAATACTCGTTAGCTTATTTAAATGATCATCATAATTGAAATCAATCAGAACAATAAACAGATCTAACAAGTGTACTTAGATTACTTAGATAATTGTTTTGGTAATTAGACTTATACGCGTCTACCGCTGTAGCGCGAGCTTGTAACTCCTTTTTTGACCACCACTAGTCTTGGCGCTGCTGTTGCTGAGGTAGTTTCTCTGCTGGCCGTGGGTGCCGTCGAGGCACGTTTGGTTGCAACTCCCGTCGCTGTGGCGTGACCGAGCTAATCGTGCCGCCACAACCACTCCCCCCGAGTGAGTTTCCGCGGGAAGTTTGAAGGTGACTCTTCGTTGGTAAGTCTTTTGTGGTCTGCCCATGGTTGAACCCCAGTGATGTGATTGCGACTGCGATTGCGGCTGCGACTGCGACTGCGATTGCGACTGCGATTGCGTCGGTGCGGGAGTTGATGCTTCGTCGGTGACTGGATGAGACTCGTCATTTTTTGCAATGTATGCCGTCTTAATCGCTCGATTGATATATTTTTTTCCTCGCCGTCGATGTCAAGCGTGTACACTCGATCAGAGATTCTGTTGAGGACTTTGTACGGTCCGATGTACGGAGCTTCCAATGGTGCTTTGACTTTATCGCATCTGACAAAGACGTGAGAACATGTGTCCAGGTTTTTTAAGATGAATATGCGTGCCTTGTTGTGGTGGGCTGTCGTTGTTGGGCGAAGGCCACGCATATACTCGCGATGTTTTTCCACGAAAATTTGAGGCTTGGATGGCATTTCAGCGGAAGTGAAGAATTCGCCAGGTACTCGCAGGCATGTTCCGTATAGAAGGTCGGCAGGAGTGGCCTGGATATCTTCTTTGAAGCTGGTTTGTAGTCCAAGTAGAGCTGTTGATAAAATTTCTGTCCAGGGTTTTGGAGAGCACATGAATGCGGCTTTTAAAGTTCGGTGCATTCGTTCGACGATTCCGTTTGATTGCGGATGGTACGGTGTTGTCCGGGTTTTCTGGGCTCCGACGAGTTGTGCAAGTGCTGTGAAGAGGGCCGATTCAAACTGGGTTCCCTGATCAGTAGTAATTTGCGTGGGAGTACCGTAGTGAGCAATCCAATGATCGAAGGGTGCAGTGACGACGGTGTCAGCTGTCATATCCTTGATGGGAATGGCGACTGGCCATCGTGTGAAGCGGTCAATGATGGTGAGACAGTATTGGTATTCACCAACTTTTGGTAAGAAGATTATGTCTAGGTGGATGTGATTGAATCTGTTATCTGGAGCTTCGAGATGGTTTGGCTTGATTTTTGTATGACGGTGTACTTTGGCTCGCTGACATGCTAAGCAGTCGCGGGACCATTTAATTGCGTCTTTCCTTATTCCCGGCCATGTGTATTTAGCTCGTAGATTATTCGACGTGGTTTTTCGTCCAGGATGTGACGGATTATGCACTGAGTCGAATGCAGCTTTGCGGAGAGTCTGAGGAATGTAAGGCTTGACAGTTCCAGCTGAAATTTCGCAATAGACATCGGAGTTTTCAATTGATAATTTTTGTAGTTTTAACGACGTTGAATTTTGGAGCAAGTTCTTCGTCATCTTCTTGCTCTTGATGAATTGTTGCAGGTGTAAGTACTGATGGCATGTTGATGGTGTTGACTCGTGATAGAGCGTCTGCAACGATGTTGTCTTCGCCTTTCACATAGACTATGTCTGTTGAGAGTTGTGCGATGTAATCAAGTTGTCGTAGTTGGCGTTCAGATGCTTTGTCCAATTTCTGTTTAAATGCGTATGTTAAAGGCTTGTGATCAGTTTTTATGATGAAGTTGCGACATTCCAGGAGATGACGGAAGAATTTTGTAGCTGCGAAAATTCCTAGTAGTTCCCGGTCGTAGGTACTGTATCTTTTCTTGGTCTCTGAGAGTTTCCTGGAGAAAAATCCTATCGGCTTCCAGGTATCACCTTCGAGTTGTTCAAGTTTGGCTCCGATGGCTGTGGATGAAGCGTCGGTGGTAAGAGCCAGTGGTTCAGTAGACGACGGAAATGTGAGTAGCGTGGTTTTTGCTAATTCTCGTTTGCAGGCGTGGAATGCCTCGTTGGCCACTGGTGTCCAATCGATTTTTGTTTTGTCATTTTTTATGGACTTTTTCAGGTAGGCGTTGAGAGGTAGCATAATTTGCGCTGCTTGAGGGATGTTTCGTCGGTAATAATTGATCATGCCTAGGAACCTGCGAAGTTCGCAAACAGTTTCTGGCTTATTGAAGCCCAGGATAGCGTCAACACGTTCTTGAGTGGGTGCATAGCCGTGCTCGTTGATTGTGAATCCTAGGAAATTTATTTCTGATTGGTCAAAGAGACATTTCTTGAGGTTGATGATGAGGTTGTGTTTTTTTAGAAGTTCAAAGACGGTGCGGACATGCTCGAAGTGTTCTTCGTCGTTGTCCGAGGAGATCAAAATATCGTCTATATAGACGAACACGTAGTCGAGGTCCCTGAAGAGGTCGTCCATATATCTCTGGTAAGCTTGCCCGGCGTTTCTGAGACCATAAGGCATACCTAGGTACTCATATAAGCCCCACGGTGTGATTATGGCAGTTTTAGCGATGTCGTCCGGGTGGATTGGCAGCTGCAAGTAGGCCTTTTCCATGTCAAGTTTGGTAAATCTTTTCTTGTTTTTTAAACATGGAAAAAGATCCTGTATTAGCGGTGGTGGATAATTGTCATGCTCAGTGGTCTCATTTAATTTTCTGTAATCACCGCACATCCTCCATGAGTTATCTTTTTTATGAGTCATGTGGATTGGTCTCGCGTACTTGCTTTTCGATGGTCGCAAGATGCCAGAGTCGAGAAGTTCTCGTATTTGTTGTTTTGCGGAAGCAGCTTTTTCCCCACCGAGCTTGCGTGCACGTGCTGTTGCAGGTGCACCACGTGTGATGATTCTGTGAGCAAATTCCGTCGACGTAATACGAGGCTTGCTTATGGGCTTCGTGATGACGACGTATTGTTTCAGCAGTTCAACATATTTAGGCGGTAAATCTGTGCTGATTGTTGAGATGGTATGAAATTGCGTAGTACTGGTATGACCTTTTGATGTTAGCTGCGTCGATGGATCGATCAGCTGTTGATTTTTCAGGTCTATCAGTAAGTTATAATGCGTGAGAAAATCGGCACCGATGATTGCAGTGTCGACATCAGCTACGATGAATGACCAAGAGAAATCTCGGCGTAGGTTGAGCTCCAGGTTGATAGTTGTTGTACCATACGTATTTATTTGTGAAGAATTTGCCGCGTATAATGTCAATTGTTCTGCCTTTCGATTTTTGCGAAAGGTTTTTGCTGGCAGTATTGATACCACCGACCCGGAATCAATTAGAAGTTTCTGGTGGGTGATATTGTCGATGATGTGCAGACGGAGCTCTTTTGGACACATAGGATCGCTGTGACTCACTGCTCCTAGTGTTGACAGCGGTTCTAGTTTTCCTGGTTTTGCTTTGCAAGGAAGTCTGAAGCCAACGTGCATGGTAAGATGCATTTTCGTGCCTCAGTTCCGAACTTATTGTGAAAGAAGCACATGCCATTGCGTGTTGGAGTTGGAGATCTTCCGCGGCGTTGTTGATACTTCTGAGGATTGCCAGTTGCTTGCTGGAATTGCGACTGTTGTTGTTGCAATTGTTATTGATTGATAAATTGATTATTTATCAGTTGTTGCGTCTGTTCCTGTTTTACTTTCAGGTTGATGATTTCCTGCATACAGGTGGCCAGAGTTTTTTGTAATTCGGTGATCTTCAGCTCGAGGTTGTTCTGGCTCTGCTGTGTTGCTGGATGTATCGCAGTTGCCATAACCTGCGTACTAGGTATCAGCTCAACGAAGCGGTCAGCGAATTTTGCTACGGTGTCCAGCGGGAGCTTGCTGGTCGTGATCAGATGCGGTCTAACTTCTGGAGGTAGTCGTTCTAGCCATAGTTGCTGCAAGATGCTGTCATCGATTGCACCGTCTGCTTGCTCGCGCATTATGCGTAGTAGTTGAAACGGGGTTCGACCCGCAAGGGTGGTTTCCCGCAATAATTTATGTACTTGTTTTTGCCTGGAATCAGTAAGACGCGAGATAATTGCATTTTTAAGCGTTTTGTACTTATCTGTTGTCGGTTTCTGGCGAACGACGTCTGCGAGTTGTTCGATGATGTCTGGATCCAGCGCTCGTATGACGGTGAGGTACCTGGTGGTATCATCGTCAGTGTTTGTCGTGGTTGTCACGAACGGGGTGAGTGATGGGCGCAAGGAATATGAAATAGAAATCTCAAATATCCGAACGTTACCACCTTGTCCGTTCGGGAACTAAATTAAAAATTGCGTTGGAGTGTGGAGCGGTACACAAGCTCGAACGTTATCTCTAAGTGCTAACTTAGAGAGAGTAAGGATGATGGATCCTGCTGACTTCGGTCACGAGTAACCTATTCTATTATTTAGTTGTAACTTTATTTTGTAAAGGATATCTTATTTTATTTTAAAAGTAAAATGAGCAGTGAATCAACTTGTTTATTTGTTTGAATTTATTGAGAAAAACAAGTAAAAGTGTTACAAATTTGGGTTTATAAAACGGTTAATAAAGATAGAGATAAAAGAACACAAATGTTAGAAAAGAAATAATGTCTTAAAGGTAGATAATGTTTTGGGCTTACCCTGGAAGTCTGTAGAGAGGCTCAAATTTAATGGGCCCTTTCACCTTCTATGGGTAGTTTTCACTATCGAAATACCGTATCTCGTGCGTCACGGAGAATTTAAGTATTTACAAATAATGAATTATTTGTATCTTCGCGATTTTACGCGAAACTTAGAAAAACTCAATCGACGCTAAGATATTTTCACAACCGAATTACCGGATCTCGTGTATCACGGAGAAATTGAGTAATTACAAATAATGAATTAATCTTCGGGACTTTAAGCGCAAAACTTAACACTAATCGACGCTCAACGGCAGAAACAATATACTTCGCGATTCTCGCGGAAAAATCAACGCTCAACGGTGGAATAATCAAAAATCGACGCTCAACGGCGGAAAATAATAAAAAGAAAAACGGAATATAACTGTGGCAAATATCGAATGAATTTACCGTGTTATTGCTACTCAATGTAACCTAACCACGAGCAAGGCACTGTCTCGTGTATCACAGAGTACTTTGTGCTTCCGAAGAATTTGATGCCCGGAGCCGACCGACGCGGAGCTAACCAGTGGTATCCTGGTCGAAATCGAACTGCCAAAAATGATTTTCGGGCGGTATTTATATGATCAGCAGCATCAGTGATTGTATGGGCTTCATAGATAAATTATTCCAAAAAAAAAAATGAAAGGTAGTGAAGGGCAATTGTCCGTGCGTCATCGCATTTTCTAATTCTTGGAAATCAAGGTACTTTCATGAGTAGTTTCGAAATTTACCTTGAGTCTTCAATTTGGAATAGAAAATGAGATGATACTTTCACTGTATTATGAATACAAAAATAGGTAAAAGTCATTGAAAAATTGAAAGGTATTGACAAAAAAATAGAAATCCGAAAATTAGAAAGGGTGTCATCAAATCTTTGGAAAGTTAGGCCAGATTACTCTTCTACTGACTTCAAGGGTATGATAAATTGTAAATTAAAAATAAAAAGTTACATATATTTAGAAGAAAAACAAAATTTTTAGATTTTAGCAGACGTCACATGGTGAACTCGGCGTCGACCAGGATGAACCATAAATCCGGTCTGGTTTTGTTGAATGGCGGCAACTTTGGTTTTACGGCCGCTGGTTGGTTTTGGCGGGAAAGTCTAGCCAGTAATTGTTCAAGAATAAGTGACGTATTTTGATTACCTTGAGCTTGTTGTTGTATTTTAGGTATTGTGCTTGTCTTGGTGTTGTTGTTGTCGTTCGAGGGATCCATTGATAAAAGGTCCTTGAGAATTTCTCGAGAAACCGCGCCGTCAAATACTAGCGAGTCTTTATCTTTGTAGATCGGATTACCTAGGGCGTCATAACCGATTACGTTGTTGTCATCGGGTGTTGTTTTCACAGGCGTGCGATCGGTACCCATTTTTCTCGTGTTTCTTTTTTGGCGGGATGCCGTGTATAACCCTTTGTACTATCACGTCGGGGTCACCAATTGTGGGAGGTTATTACACTACCACTACATAAATAAATAATACAAAGGTATACTTTGGCAGGTTGATATTATTTATTAAATATTTAAATAGTTTAACGAGATCTAACAAGTGTACTTAGATTACTTAGATAATTGTTTTGGTAATTAGACTTATACGCGTCTACCGCTGTAGCGCGAGCTTGTAACTCCTTTTTTGACCACCACTGGTCTTGGCGCTGCTGTTGCTGAGGTAGTTTCTCTGCTGGCCGTGGGTGCCGTCGAGGCACGTTTGGTTGCAACTCCCGTCGCTGTGGCGTGACCGAGCTAATCGTGCCGCCACACTACTGTCGGAGTGAGCGCTCTCTGGTGTTTCATTGGTGAATATAGTGGGATCAAAACAAATATTTAACAACATTAAAAAAAAGGTATAACAATGGAAAAAATTATAAAATATGGATTTCAACCTGTAGTCAATAATATAATATATACATGGCCAGAACGATGAAAAAGGCAAAAAATTATTAAAATCAAAGCATGTGTAAGGTGTTGTTGAAAAAACGGATAAAATTAGAACTGTCATAACCGGTTTTATTATTATCTTAATTTTATAAAAATCGTAAGAAATTATTTTTCGTACTAATTAATTACGAAAAGTTTTATAAATGTTATCTTTGTTAACAATATTTAATATTACAAGCAAATACTATAATATAAAAATATTTATCATTTATGAGTCTGTACTTACCTTATGTCAAAGTTATTATAAAACAGAGAAATAATAAACATTGAATTTAAAATTATTTAAGAAAATAAAACCTTTCTTTTTTGTAAAAAATTAATTTGTTTTTATCTTATACAATTAGAAATTTAATTCAGTTTTTACAATTATTTGAAAAAAGCTTATTTCTTTTCATATTTTCACGTCCAGGAAAAATCGAAAGAACATAAGATGGGTGTAAGGGATGCTCCGATTTTTCATTATTTACAAAATGGGTACTAGAAATTCTCGTATATTTATTTGGTACCCAGTCTTTTGGATTTTCTCTGAAATCAAAGAAAAGAATTATTAAAAGGTTAAGTCATGACTATAAGATAAATGGCACGAATATTTGAAATTTCATCAATTAAAAATGATCAATTTTTACATACGTCGTATTTAAAGGTTATAATTTTACTGAATGGTGCAGTTCGTTTTTATAAATCTTAATTAATATTGTACTTACACGTAATTTTTCACTGCATTCATCCACTGTTTATGTTTTAATATTTTCCATGAGGCTCCTAACACGCTCTCAGGGAATTTATAAAATTTCACTTCCACACCAAATCCACGTTCTCAGCGTGATGTATTATTACATCCAAGAATACAACAATTTTTTCTCGAAGCTGGCATTGTTTAAAAAAATTAAATATATTTTATTTATAATTATTAAAAAGTAAATCACATATGTTTAAGTTAAATACATGATCCCAACTGTTTTGGATACTTGCCAGTAGTTGGCGTAAAAGTCTAGACGCACGATCCCTATATTATACTACTCGCGGGAAAATTCAAATTAAAAATGAATAATGTTAACTTAAGGCATGCTCATTTGGATTTTCCAAACTTTTTTTTTTATATTATTTGTTTTGTCGCAAACTCTCCAAGAAGGAGAGTTTCCGTAATTATTTTGTTCTTCTTAATTGTTCTTCTTAACACTCGGTGTTGGGGTGAATAATTATAAATAATTTATTCCCCAATGGGAGAAAACTCTAGCAATGACTAGAGAAAAACTCCTCGAAGATAGATACAATTGTATGTAATAAGAGTATGTGTGTGTATGTAAAATGAGACAATTGTACTTGGCGTACAATAGGGGTGAGGGGTGACCTCAACCGCCTTTGAGTTTTTGAAAGTACTCGTAATCTGTTTATATTGATCCGAGAAGATCGAATATATTTGTAATCTGAGAACAGAAGCTAACTAATTGAATTGAGATGAATTATTGATCACGTTGAATGAATAATACTCGCGAGACTTTATATTAATTGTAATGTTTGATAATGAACACGTGAGAAGCACTATGTTATATGATTTCACTATAAATTAAATTATATTCCGAAATTAACTTAATTGAAATCTAATTAATTATTATTATTGCAGCAAACATTGAAAATGAAAATGATATTACTCATTGATGATGAAATCCCGAGTTCTTTTTGCACGTTGTGTAAATTAAAACAATGGCCGCGACACCACGACAAAGTACCGCGTCGTAAGCACTAAAGATGCCTATTTTATTTCGATGAATTTATTTTTATGTTATGATAAGTTAAAAAACACGAGTTGAATTAAAATTAAATAATTAATCTAATATTAATTTGAATGTATTATTATATCATTTAGTCACAAACGGAAAAGCACAGAATAGCGATGCAATTATTAGCGAGGCTAGCGGGTATATTGTGTAGGTTACAGGTCCCAAACACAACTGAGATATGCACATGGCGTCAAGTGCCTCGTGCTTTGGGCCGGCCGGGCTTCTTCCCGCTAGCTCATGGTGCGCAGGTGCAGCAGCCATTACCAATGCGTCATTGGACATGTTCGTAAAGAACAGTCATAGAAATGACTCTTATTGAGTCTCAAGTATAGTAAGAGTTTTAATATAATAAAGAGTCGGGGTGACCAACTCCCTTTGGTACAATTAAGAGAATCAGGGTGACCAATTCTCTTGTGCCTTGGCTGCAAAACATAATTACCTATAGGTA